ACTTTTTCTGTAATGAGATTTTCACATGATGAACATAGATGACGTAAACATATAATTAAGCCAAGGAAACATGTTTTAACGCTACGTGATGTAATGACAGATTTACGAACTATACAGCTTTTGTTTTCACTTTGATTTCCAGATTTTTGCTTTTTTGTTTGGGTTTTATAATAGTGTTAATTTCTAATTTTTCGATGTAATTATTTAATTTTTCAACGGTTTCCTTCATTTTAGACAGAGTATCTGCGGTTATTCTTTTCCTGCCAGGGGTTTTACAAAAAACATTCTTAGTGTTAAGTAGGTCAAATATGTCATTAGACATTTTACAAAATGTCGCAGTTGGATTCGCACCCTGAAATTCTTTACTTCTAATATCGAATTCTAAAAATTTTAATGCAGCAGCAGTACTTGAACTTAAAATTTGAACAGCTAAAAAAATTTTCATTTTTTCGTTGGCAAAATTAACATGACGATTTTTATTTTGCATGCAATTCATACCTTCTGAGTTTTGTATTTCATTAAGTTTTTTTATATACTTCCATTTAATGACGTCAGTATTGTAAAAAATAGGATCTTTCAAAGCAAAATAGTTCTGTACTCATTTAATCATATGACAAGGGTGAAAAAATACAAAAACGTTTGAGGACGTGGATGGATGTTAAAAGTACGAGTTTTAATTGCATTCATCCCCATCGAAGGTAACGCTAACTACATCAATATTATTAATATGAAGTTCGATAATAGATCTTTTAATAAAAGATATTTTTCTCCTTCTGACAAAGAATTGTTGAGATAATAGGCTACAGCAGTTTTAAAATTTCTATTTATATTAACCAACGTAAAAACTAACGCTTTACTTGCAATTTGTCTTCTATCGTTTTCATTTATTTCCTCTCGTTACCACCCAAGTCGACTCAACCTTTCCAAGCATGTGTATTTGTACAGTAAAAAGCCAACTTTTTGAGGCAAATTTCGTCAAACGTCAGATTAAAAACAAGCTTTTTCCCATTATGCAGTTCGTTGAGAACTATTTTTAAAACGTGCTGTATAATTCCGTTACTTATACCCGGCTGATAATTTTTCGAACAATTCCAACGATTGAGTGTTTGTCCATATGGCAACGCCTTTAAAAATGACTGTATCACCATTTTATAACCAGCGGGTGGATAAAAATGCAGTGTATGTGCCAACTTCTTCAATTCAACTGGAAAAGCTTCTGTTCAAAAGAAGAAGATAATTAAATTAATTATAATGATAATGTGAATCTAGGAAACATTTTCATGATTTTATCTCTTCCAGTGGTTATATACAATATAAATCAAAAGCTGTGGATAGAAAATATTTACTAACTATGATATTTTTTTGATTAATACACTGAAACGTAATTTATCAACATGTATGCAGAGATTTGCCGTGCAAAAAAGTATTTAAGTACGTTTGATGAAAATCATTTATATTAAAACTATGATAAATAATTTTTTTAACCGCAAAAAAGTGATTTTTGGGTATATTAAGTACGATATACTCTAAGAATCACTTAAAAATAAAATTAATTTTTCTCAGAAAAATGGTGATACTTTACATTCAGCTATTTACTCAAACCTTTTCTCATAGCAAAAGTAGTTATGTGTATTTGCTAAATACTTTTGACGTATAGAATAAAAATATAATAAATGCGTAAGTAGTGTAGAGTAGTGTATTTAGATTCCACGTATACTCAACGCAGGACTTTTGCGTATCCTATGTCCCTAGTATCTACCTTACTTTTTTTTTTTTTCAGTAGTTACCCTCCTTTTTCCCCATGTATGCGAGCCTTTCGTGCAAGCCTCTTGCAAAGCTTCCCTCAGACGACTTAGTCATCCATCCTACTGGTAACTATCTAATACTAAACGATCTCATTTTTCATACCAACCTTCTTCAAAATCAATAGTGACTTTACCCGATGAGCTGGCTAGGTGTTGGCATTTCCTACGAAAAGAAAGTCCCTAATTAAGACATAGTCCGAAATGTCACAGGTCGAAATGTCATTGTCGGTAATTTAACAATTACTTGGTGAAATTTATAAAAAAGTTTTAAATCGTTCAAATAAGCCAAGTACTCTCTCCTACGGTTCTGTTGAAAACCAGTTTCTCTGCTTCATTACAGTACTTATTTTGTTTGTAATATTTTCATTATTAATAAGGTTTTTAGTGTGTTGTTACATAAGACGATATCTTTGCATACTGTGGTAAAAAAAAAAAAAAATCGAAAAATGAACCTTAGGCTAAGCGGAAACAAAATTACATCACCAAGCGCAGTATGGGAGAAAATCGTGTTTAACCCATAAAAGAATCGTGAAAAAAAATAAAGAAAGCCTTAGGTCATATTCTTGGAAGCAGCCAGTAGTGCTTGTCAGAAGTAAAAAAAAAATCTGTTTTAAAGACAGATACTTAAAAAACTTTTTCCTTTATTTTGTTCGTAAATTAATTTCCACTCAAATTTTTTTCAAGCGTACTTTTCTAGTACGAACTTCAGTAAGATGTTTAGTTAAGAACAGGGAACAACTTAATAGCTGTAGAGATATACTAAAAGCATACAATATCACATAAGAATTAGGGTATTTGTGGAACAGTACGAGCAAATAATAAAAATTCGCAATGCATTATTTTTGATGATGCAATATTGCAAATAATATACTAATTTTAAAAAAATTTGTGAAACATTCTCTTTAGTGCCGATTATTACGTTTTTTTTTTATAGAGTTAGCCTATGGTACCTTCCCATGCTGAAGAATCTTTATATCTTGATAGTGATACTCGTAATGTTTGCGAAATTTTAAGTAATAACATGCAGCATTATTACAAAGTAGTTTCCAAACTTGAGGACATTGCCGTTGTAGGTTGATTTTTTGACCAACAACCTCAAGCAATAAGCAATTGTACACAAAATCATCATTCTTATCAGATTTTGATCGAATAATTTATGAGTTTATTCAAATCAGTTATGTTAGTATGCAGGTGCGGCTGAAAATAAATATTCAGACGTCATGAAATGCTGTCAAATAAGATCTGAAGTAACTAATGAGCCTGTACGTTGGGCAGAGATCGCTGGCCTTACCGGCGAGGAGTGATCCCTAAAACATGGGGCTTCTCCGAGGATGCTAATTCGCCTGGATCTGATGCTTTGGCAGAGAGCGCTGGCTTGACTGACGAGGAGTGGACGTCCAGAAATATGGAGTCCTCTCCGGGGAAAAGCTACGCAGTGGCGAGTGGACCCGATGCACCATTGATGTAGAGCGTGTCCGATTAACTATCAAGTTGTTTCACTGCAGATACTCACACTGTGCCCATGGATTAGGTATGATATCAGTAAAAGGGTTGGAAATGGGTGCGGCAATACACCCCCACACATAGGTGGTAAGTAGGTGGCTCTGGCGCCTAGGCCTAATAGCTGTCGCGGTAACCCGGGGAAAAAAAATAATAATAATGAGCCTGTAAAGTTTACTTTAGATCTAAATAATTTGAATGTAGAAAATGAGTCGCCTGCAGCAACAGAGGAAGTCATACGAAAAAAAAAAAAAAAATTAATAAAGTTACACGTAAGAGTACTTCGAACACAGAATCTAAGATAATAAGAAATTAACTTTGGCAAATAAATATAGGAAACTAAAATACGCAGGAAAAAAACACAGTAGTAATTGAAAAACGTATAGATATTGATATTATTGATTGCTAGTAAAAATATTCAAATAATTATTAGTATAAATATCATTTGATTTTTTACTCACAATGAGTAAACATCTAGTCACTTGTATATAATATATGTAGTAAGTAGTTGATACGAGATAAAAAAATTTTTGCACACCGAAAGAATTTTATTTTACTACTCGTATGAAAATGAAAGTCACTATTCTACTACTCTTGAAGGAAGATATGGTATTTTCCGGGTTTATTAAGACATTTTTTTCTTGAGTAGCAAACAAATCTTATTCTTACAGACAGTAAATTTTTCTCTTGTATGAAGTGACTTATCACGTACGACTGACCGAATAGTCACTGACGAGAACCATTAAAGATATTTAGGATTAAACTATATCTTCTTACTAACGCTAGTTACTTTGATTATCACCCATACATTGCAAAAGATATAAGTTTTTAATTGATGTTTAAAATTTGCATGTTGATACACTAGCTTTTATGTGTATCTTTAGAAAGAACCTTTAGAAGTTATGAAGACACTTCAATTTCGAGATATCCTAATAAAAGAGACATTTTTTAAGATTATCTATTCAAATTTTCTATTGACTATAATGAACAATATTCTTAGACACAAAAAAATAGACCCATTAATACCATACTACTCAGATCCATTAAGTCAGAGTAGACATAATTTTAGATTAATATTGCATATATGCATATAATTATGCAGTTATACATACATTTATGAGAATGAATCATTAGCTAGCTCAACTGCCAGAGGGCAGCAGGAGAAGATGCTACCTAGAGATATAGAAATACTATTTGAAATAGACATACTATCATATGGCTTCTCACCAAACAACTTCCACTGTTACTCGTACGTGAGAAAGCGGGAGATTTTAAATTTGAAGGATGAATGAGCAAATTTTCATAGAGAACTATTATGGTTTGAATTTAAATTTAAATATAAGTCAATTTAAGCAACTGCTAAAAGCAACAATGTAAATAATTTTGATGAATTTTCTCATAAAACAATGTAAATGAACCGTATTCAAATAATATATCTGTATATCTCTTGGTAGTATCTGGTACCTGGTGGTTGAGCTTGCTAATGATTCATCCTCATATGAAGCTTTAGAAGCTTTTTTTTATGTAAGGAAATTAACGCTTTTAAGGAATATGACAGCCCTCGGAAAAAGCTTATGTACTTCAAAGCAAAAAAAAAAAGAAAAATTTTATATGATTTTAATACATACAGCATGAACAATTAAAACAAAGTCACTGAGTATGAAAATAGTTTTTATATGGTTACTAACATTTCAGGTTATTGATGACTGGTTTGAATTATTGAAGAATAGATTTCAAGAGTCAACGGATAGCTGCATTGCTGTTCATTGCGTGGCTGGACTTGGCAGAGCACCTGTGCTTGTGGCTTTAGCTCTCATTGAGCTGGGCCTGAAATACGAAGATGCTATCTCTTTAATTAGAGAGTAAGTTTTAACCAGATTAATGTAATATAATATCATAAAGATTTAAAAACTAAGTACATCTGTTCACTTTTTTATTATTACCATTAAGGAGTCAGCTGACAGAGGCAATATCCAACACATGCTTAAAATGATTGGAAGCACAACCTACAGCTTCTAAACTAATTACTCTGGTAGTGAGTTTTTTAATTATGAGAAATAGTTCTCCAATCGAAACTACAGTAAACAATAAATGCTTGAAAAGGTTCAGAAGGTTTTTAGAGATTTATTAATTCGTTTAAGGAATTTACACTGTAAATAATCTCATGTTAAACGCGATTCAATGCATATATATATTTAAAGTTCTTGCAGAAACTATTCCAAACAAAAAAAAATCAACATGTACTGTTTACTATCATTTTTTTGGAGTAAGAAAAACTGTAAAAGTTGCAAGAATAGGTCCTTGAACGTCTTTGAAGCTTGTAATTTATAAGAAAAAAAGTTTGTCTGCATTGGCTCTTAAAAAACATCCCCGTGTATTATTTTAAGTATGTGGTATTGCGTTCATCGCAAAACTAATTCACTGTCTTTAACCTTATGTATACTTTCATCTAAATACGTGTATTTTTTTGTTTGTATCAGAGTTATTGCATTTATGGAAATAAGACTTAACTAAAAATAATTAGGACAAAAAGCTAGATAAAAAAAAGCAACAACGTGTTTTATGTAGTTTAAATCGGATTTCTAAAAATCTGGTTCAAGATGGCTTGGTTTACTAAATTTCTGTAGAACATTATACAACATGAAATAGTCTTTAATTTAATTAAAAGCACTGCCACTTAAAGTAATAAATACCACCCTCCTTTCGCCTTCTCATGCCCATCCCGAAATTGTTTTTACCATTCCCTTAGCCTCCATACAATAAGGAAGAAGTCTCTATATTTCTCTATTTGATCATCCCCATCTGACATACCGATCTGAAACGTAGCTCTTACTGTCCCCTTTAAATTTTGAGTGCCCTTTCTTGGTCCCACCCCCTTCTGCTTTATGGATATATTTGGGTTTTTTAAATTGAATTAGACAAGATGATAAAGACTATTGTTCTAAGAATAGATTTTACAGTTCTGTAAAAGACCTGATAATTTATCTAAATTGATATTTTAATTAAGCCTATGAGACACACTAGAAAAATCAAATTTCAACATTTTAAATATTAAGTTCCATATTTCTTAATTTTTAAACGTGATGAAAATTATTTACAAACAAATTTTAATTTAAAAAATTGAACAATAAATTGAATTTTTAATGTATTAGCTTACTTTTTATTCAAACTACAATCAGTTGATGGTCGTTTAGTGAGAATTTTTGACATTTTCACACAGTATTCATTCATTTCACACAGTAAATAATAAAATCTACTAATGCTGCTTGGTCATTTCGTGGCAATTATCCTGCTTGCGCTCTCGCAGTCGCAAGATATTCTACTGTGGACCTTTACGATGTTTCTGATCCTACACGAAAGTACTCATAGCGATCATAATAGTTAGGCTGCTGCTTTCTATGTGAGAACTTGAATTGACGATCTTTTTTTTTCTTTGTTTTACTTTTTAGTTAGTCTACAGCTCAGAATTTTTTTACACATACTTGTCACCGAACTAAGTTTTGTATTTGCTTTAAGTAAATGCCTTTAGATGTAGCTTAACCAATTAATTAATATAGAAGTTTGCTTCATACATGCAACTAAAGTCATCTTTCAATCTTTATAATTATTTTACAGCATCTGATTAAAAATGGCAGGCATTTATTGATGTGTGCAATAAGTTTTTATTTCTTATGGAGGATATATTTAGTTGGAGATCCAAGTTACTACTCAGAACTTAACCTAATTATCCTTGGTTGACACAAGTAGAATCGTAGTGTGATAAGTATACTATGATCTATTATTAAAATCTCTTATCTCTTGGATTTTAGATTTTGGCACTAGTCTATATCAAAATGTATAGAATATCTGTTGTAGATCATACGTAGTGATGAGTAGTGTATCTAGGGGGATACGGGGCCACCTGATCTCGTGTATCTCGAGGGATATGGAGCCACCTGATGTATAGTTTGGCCTCGTAGCCGCTGAGGACTATGGACTCGTGCCAGAGTGGCTCGATATACCTACTCCAGCCCCCGTACAGGATCTGCCGCGTTCTCTCTCTCTCCTGATAGGGTGGCTCGGCATACCTCGTAGCGTCTGTATGTCGTGTGAGGATCCGCTGCCCTCTCTCCCTATTCTGCCAGAACGGCCTCTCATTCATTTATACTTGACGCAAAGGAAATCAAAAAGTATGTCTTGTTATCTCATTGTTTGCAGCATACAATGAAAATTGATATCGGCTTGAAAGCAGTCGGATGACTTTTAACGTATTTAATTGGGTCTTATGATGTGGCTGCCTATACGAGCTAACATATTCGTGATTTACACAGTTGCCAGCTTATACTCACTAGAATTGACGAAAGTTTCCTGTAGCACGTTTACTTATGTTACTCAAAAGAGATAAAAGGGTAAGAATAAAAGCACTCGAGTCGATGCGTTTTGCTTTACAATACTTATGTGGATTAGCTGCAACATGAAGCTCTATTTACGTATGACACTGCTGAAGAAAGTATCGAACCACAAACTGAGATATAAGTTCTCTATACACCATGCTTACTTACGTTGCTCGAAAGGGATAAAATTTAGGAATAAATGCGCTCTGGAATGCTTATGTGGGTAATCTGCAGAATAATGATTCATTTAAGTATGACACTACTAGAGACAATATCTAGCCACAATAAGTTGACAAGAGCTTTAAAAGTTAAGTTTTATCAATTAACAAAATACTAGAAATATCTTTACTGCTTGAATGCAAGAACTTAGAATTAGATCATATGTTTCTTAAAAAAATAAAAAAAAATAATAAAATTGAGAGTGACAATGATGTCAGTGGTGATGGTAATATTATTGATATCAAAAACAAAGTAAATAAATACAATTATGTTAGTGATGATAACCGCCATGATAACAATGCAAATTTAATTGAAAATGAACGTGAACCTATTATTTTAGTTGGTGGCTTATCAAAAATCTCTCTACCATTAAGAATAGGTACTTTAGAGTGGATCATAAGTTTCCTCTTGAGGAAGAACTGTAAAAGACAGTAGTGTTAGTAAAAGTAATGGTGATAATGCTGTAAATAACATTACAATCAAAATAAATAAAAACAATGATGATAACGATGATGTTAATGATAACGATACGAATGAAAAAAGTAAAAGTTGATCTTTTATTTTAGTTAGTGGCTTATGAGACATCTCTCTACCATTAAAATATAGATACTTTAAATGTTATCATTTATGAAAAGAAGTATGGTCAAAAATAAAATTAACATTAGTGATGGTAGTACTGATCGTAAGTCTCTAATTTCAGTTAGTGGCTTATCAAATCGGTACGGTGGAGCAGTCTATACAACAACTAATGTTAGTGATGATGATAACTATAATATCAGTTTAAGTGACAGTAAATCAATAGTATAACAAAAAGGAAAGCTGATTCTGACTCCAACGAAACATTTTATGGTTTCAGTTCTTCCAAAGATGAAAAAAGTGTATGTTTTTTAGTTATAGGCGTGTTTTACGGTACAGAGTGAACCAATAATTTCATACTCGTGACCTTGAGAAAATATGTGATAAAAGTACATTTTTTTGTTAGTGCACCCTTGCTCTGCCGTGCTATGATCTGCTTTACTCCCATGCATCGTGGCACACATAAGACCACTTTGACACACTATGTCGCGTCTCGGCAACAAAACGCATATCATTCACCTTTATTTATTTATTCTCTACCATATATATATACATATATTCCTATTTTACTTAGTTATTTAGGAAGATCATTCTACCTAACCCCCTCCCCACTCCCCGACTCCATCCCCGGATAAGGTGAAATTCTATAAGTTTTTACATAACTTTTGATTAGTTAAATTTTTGATTAGCCTCTTTCTCCTCCTGCTCGATTTTCAAATGCGCCCCTTAACCCTCTCTCCCTCTCAACAAATTAAAATAATATCGGTTTTCATCTTATTTTTATGTTGTTAAATTTATTTTAGTCCCTCTTTCTCCCCCTCACAATTAAATAACCCAATAAGCCCCCCTCACAATTTTAAAGAATTCTCTTTGGCCACTCCTAAGCCTCCTTTTTTAATTGGGGTGACATTATTTCTGTTTTTATAACATTTTCAGATAAATTACTTTTTACACTGCTCCTCACAGCTCCTCGCATTTTTAAACAAAATCTCTCTTAGCTCCTTTACAATTGGTAACACATTGTCCTAGCAACTCTTCAATATTCGTTTGAGCCATTTTTAGACAATTTTTACTAGTCCCTTGAGAAGGCTCATCACCGTTTGCACAGCCGAGCCATTGCAGCCAAATTGAAATTTTTGTTAAATTATCGCTTAACGGATGTACAGTTTAAATTTTAGAGAATGTTTTCGACCAAAATTGAAAAAAAATACATGCAAAAATCGAAATTATAGCATTGGTCTTATGAGGCTGCTTTTTAATGTTTTCAGGTGTGATAGTCTCATGTTACACAATGAGATAGTGCGAGGATAATAAGTCATCTTAATAATTGTTTTTTCATATAACTTGTTAGCAAACCTCCACACCATCCGGTAGTGGTATGGTGCACTGGTTTTTTTTTCTTAAATTCTCAATAAGTTTTTTAATTTTATTATTGAATATGTAAAAAGACATGGCATGGTATTTTCATATTTTATTAAAAAATAACAAATAATCTTGTACAATATTCAACCCATAGACCTCGCTAGTATATCTTTCCATCTAAAAAACGTAGAAATTATATTTTCCTCTTTATTGAAATATGTCAAATATTTTAAAAAGTTAACTCTTTTGCCTTTAACCTAGATAATGTGCAACGTATAATAAAAAAATTATTTATGTGCAATAAAATTTTATACCATTGTTATGTCCGAACT